GCTGGAACAATCACATGTGTACCCCTCAGCTGCTGGAACAACCACATGTGTACCCTCAGCTGCTGGAACAATCACATGTGTACCCTCAGCTGCTGGAACAATCACATGTACACCCTCAGCTGCTGGAACAGTCACATGTGTACCCTCAGCTGCTGGAACAATCACATGTGTACCCTCAGCTGCTGGAACAATCACATGTGTACCCTCAGCTGCTGGAACAATCACATGTACACCCTCAGCTGCTGGAACAGTCACATGTGTACCCTCAGCTGCTGGAACAATCACATGTGTACCCTCAGCTGCTGGAACAATCACATGTGTACCCTCAGCTGCTGGAACAATCACATGTGTACCCTCTGCTGCTGGAACATTCACATGTGTACCCTCAGCTGCTGGAACATTCACATGTGTACCCTCAGCTGCTGGAACATTCACATGTGTACTCTCAGCTGCTGGAACATTCACATGTGTACCCTCAGCTGCTGGAACATTCACATGTGTACCCTCAGCTGCTGGAACATTCACATGTGTACCCTCAGCTGCTGGAACATTCACATGTGTACCCTCAGCTGCTGGAACATTCACATGTGTACCCTCAGCTGCTGGAACATTCACATGTGTACCCTCAGCTGCTGGAACAATCACATGTGTACCCTCAGCTGCTGGAAGAATCACATGTGTACCCTCAGCTGCTGGAACATTCACATGTGTACCCTCAGCTGCTGGAACATTCACATGTGTACCCTCAGCTGCTGGAACATTCACATGTGTACCCTCAGCTGCTGGAACAATCACATGTGTACCCTCAGCTGCTGGAACAATCACATGTGTACCCTCAGCTGCTGGGACAGTCACATGTGTACCCTCAGCTGCTGGAACAGTCACATGTGTACCCTCAGCTGCTGGAACAATCACATGTGTACCCTCAGCTGCTGGAACAATCACATGTACACCCTCAGCTGCTGGAACAATCACATGTACACCCTCAGCTGCTGGAACAATCACATGTGTACCCTCAGCTGCTGGAACAATCACATGTACACCCTCAGCTGCTGGAACAATCACATGTGTACCCTCAGCTGCTGGAACAATCACATGTACACCCTCAGCTGCTGGAACAATCACATGTACACCCTCAGCTGCTGGAACAATCACATGTACACCCTCAGCTGCTGGAACAATCACATGTGTACCCTCAGCTGCTGGAACAATCACATGTGTACCCTCAGCTGCTGGAACAATCACATGTACACCCTCAGCTGCTGGAACAATCACATGTACACCCTCAGCTGCTGGAACAATCACATGTGTACCCTCAGCTGCTGGAACAATCACATGTGTACCCTCAGCTGCTGGAACAATCACATGTACACCCTCAGCTGCTGGAACAGTCACATGTACACCCTCAGCTGCTGGAACAATCACATGTACACCCTCAGCTGCTGGAACAGTCACATGTACACCCTCAGCTGCTGGAACAATCACATGTACACCCTCAGCTGCTGGAACAATCACATGTACACCCTCAGCTGCTGGAACAATCACATGTACACCCTCAGCTGCTGGAACAATCACATGTGTACCCTCAGCTGCTGGAACAATCACATGTGTACCCTCAGCTGCTGGAACAATCACATGTACACCCTCAGCTGCTGGAACAATCACATGTACACCCTCAGCTGCTGGGACAATCACATGTGTACCCTCAGCTGCTGGAACAGTCGCATGTACACCCTCAGCTGCTGGAACAATCACATGTACACCCTCAGCTGCTGGAACAATCACATGTACACCCTCAGCTGCTGGAACAATCACATGTACACCCTCAGCTGCTGGAACAATCACATGTGTACCCTCAGCTGCTGGAACAATCACATGTACACCCTCAGCTGCTGGAACAATCACATGTACACCCTCAGCTGCTGGAACAATCACATGTACACCCTCAGCTGCTGGGACAATCACATGTGTACCCTCAGCTGCTGGAACAATCACATGTACACCCTCAGCTGCTGGAACAATCACATGTACACCCTCAGCTGCTGGAACAATCACATGTGTACCCTCAGCTGCTGGAACAATCACATGTGTACCCTCAGCTGCTGGAACAATCACATGTACACCCTCAGCTGCTGGAACAGTCACATGTGTACCCTCAGCTGCTGGAACAATCACATGTGTACCCTCAGCTGCTGGAACAATCACATGTGTACCCTCAGCTGCTGGAACAATCACATGTACACCCTCAGCTGCTGGAACAGTCACATGTGTACCCTCAGCTGCTGGAACAATCACATGTGTACCCTCAGCTGCTGGAACAATCACATGTGTACCCTCAGCTGCTGGAACAATCACATGTGTACCCTCTGCTGCTGGAACATTCACATGTGTACCCTCTGCTGCTGGAACATTCACATGTGTACCCTCAGCTGCTGGAACATTCACATGTGTACCCTCAGCTGCTGGAACATTCACATGTGTACTCTCAGCTGCTGGAACATTCACATGTGTACCCTCAGCTGCTGGAACATTCACATGTGTACCCTCAGCTGCTGGAACATTCACATGTGTACCCTCAGCTGCTGGAACATTCACATGTGTACCCTCAGCTGCTGGAACATTCACATGTGTACCCTCAGCTGCTGGAACATTCACATGTGTACCCTCAGCTGCTGGAACAATCACATGTGTACCCTCAGCTGCTGGAAGAATCACATGTGTACCCTCAGCTGCTGGAACATTCACATGTGTACCCTCAGCTGCTGGAACATTCACATGTGTACCCTCAGCTGCTGGAACATTCACATGTGTACCCTCAGCTGCTGGAACAATCACATGTGTACCCTCAGCTGCTGGAACAATCACATGTGTACCCTCAGCTGCTGGGACAGTCACATGTGTACCCTCAGCTGCTGGAACAGTCACATGTGTACCCTCAGCTGCTGGAACAATCACATGTGTACCCTCAGCTGCTGGAACAATCACATGTACACCCTCAGCTGCTGGAACAATCACATGTACACCCTCAGCTGCTGGAACAATCACATGTGTACCCTCAGCTGCTGGAACAATCACATGTACACCCTCAGCTGCTGGAACAATCACATGTGTACCCTCAGCTGCTGGAACAATCACATGTACACCCTCAGCTGCTGGAACAATCACATGTACACCCTCAGCTGCTGGAACAATCACATGTACACCCTCAGCTGCTGGAACAATCACATGTGTACCCTCAGCTGCTGGAACAATCACATGTGTACCCTCAGCTGCTGGAACAATCACATGTACACCCTCAGCTGCTGGAACAATCACATGTACACCCTCAGCTGCTGGAACAATCACATGTGTACCCTCAGCTGCTGGAACAATCACATGTGTACCCTCAGCTGCTGGAACAATCACATGTACACCCTCAGCTGCTGGAACAGTCACATGTACACCCTCAGCTGCTGGAACAATCACATGTACACCCTCAGCTGCTGGAACAGTCACATGTACACCCTCAGCTGCTGGAACAATCACATGTACACCCTCAGCTGCTGGAACAATCACATGTACACCCTCAGCTGCTGGAACAATCACATGTACACCCTCAGCTGCTGGAACAATCACATGTGTACCCTCAGCTGCTGGAACAATCACATGTGTACCCTCAGCTGCTGGAACAATCACATGTACACCCTCAGCTGCTGGAACAATCACATGTACACCCTCAGCTGCTGGGACAATCACATGTGTACCCTCAGCTGCTGGAACAGTCACATGTACACCCTCAGCTGCTGGAACAATCACATGTACACCCTCAGCTGCTGGAACAATCACATGTACACCCTCAGCTGCTGGAACAATCACATGTACACCCTCAGCTGCTGGAACAATCACATGTGTACCCTCAGCTGCTGGAACAATCACATGTACACCCTCAGCTGCTGGAACAATCACATGTACACCCTCAGCTGCTGGAACAATCACATGTACACCCTCAGCTGCTGGGACAATCACATGTGTACCCTCAGCTGCTGGAACAATCACATGTACACCCTCAGCTGCTGGAACAATCACATGTACACCCTCAGCTGCTGGAACAATCACATGTGTACCCTCAGCTGCTGGAACAATCACATGTGTACCCTCAGCTGCTGGAACAATCACATGTACACCCTCAGCTGCTGGAACAATCACATGTGTACCCTCAGCTGCTGGAACAATCACATGTACACCCTCAGCTGCTGGAACAATCACATGTACACCCTCAGCTGCTGGAACAATCACATGTACACCCTCAGCTGCTGGAACAATCACATGTGTACCCTCAGCTGCTGGAACAATCACATGTACACCCTCAGCTGCTGGAACAATCACATGTACACCCTCAGCTGCTGGAACAATCACATGTACACCCTCAGCTGCTGGAACAATCACATGTACACCCTCAGCTGCTGGAACAATCACATGTACACCCTCAGCTGCTGGAACAATCACATGTACTCCCTCAGCTGCTGGAACAATCACATGTACACCCTCAGCTGCTGGAACAATCACATGTGTACCCTCAGCTGCTGGAACAATCACATGTACACCCTCAGCTGCTGGAACAATCACATGTACACCCTCAGCTGCTGGAACAATCACATGTACACCCTCAGCTGCTGGAACAGTCACATGTGTACCCTCAGCTGCTATGTATATATTTGTTCCAAATTTCTGGATCATATTTTCTAATTATATTTTTCTTAAGAATTTTCTGGCCTACATATTATACCCCCACCAGTGCCAGAGTCCCCTACTTCCTCCCCCCCCCCTCTCCCTACCTTCCCCCCACCTCCCCCCCCCTCTCCCTACCTTCCCCCCCTCCTTCCCCCACCTCCCCCCCCCTCTCCCTACCTTCCCCCCCTCCTTCCCCCACCTCCCCCCCTCTCCCTACCTTCCCCCCCTCCTTCCCCCACCTCCGCCCCTCTCCCCCACACCGTGACTCACTGAACATCTCTCCCTCACAGTTGCTGCCCTCAGGCTTCTCAATGCCTCACCGTAGCTACTACGACAGGATGCCCAATAATGAGGTAAGTGGGCCGAGAATGACTGGAATATAAGTGCCGGGATCTGAAGGAGGATGGAGTTAGGGTCACTGTGATCAGCCCATTAAAAAGGATTAGAATTTAGGAGCTAGGATTTAGGGTTATTTTTAATGGAAAGATGGGACTTGAATATTAGGATTAAGGACAAGGTTGAAATGATCTTGTAATCCTTAACTGGATTAGGATCTATGAGAGCGTTATTGCCATCTATGAATAGGTCTCAAACACATGTGTAAACATGGGAGTACCCCGTGTTGCAGGTTCGAATCCTCAGCGTGGCTTCAACTGATTATCCTCACATGTCAAACAACAGTTCACCCACAGTCGCTCTACACACTCGCCCCATCTCCCAGCTGCTACTCTACCCCCGCCCTCACTCTGGTCTACCCTGCTCCTCTACCCCCGCCCTCACTCTGGTCTACCCTGCTCCTCTACCCCCGCCCTCACTCTGGTCTACCCTGCTCCTCTACCCCCGCCCTCACTCTGGTCTACCCTGCTCCTCTACCCCCGCCCTCACTCAGGTCTACCCTGCTACTCTACCCCCGCCCTCACTCTGGTCTACCCTGCTACTCTACCCCCGCCCTCACTCAGGTCTACCCTGCTACACTTCACTTCACTACTAACAAACCGACTGCTGTAACCAACACTATACTAAATAAATACATATAAAACACTAAACTGTCTAATCGACCAAATACGTACACGTATCTGTACGTATTTGCTTGTCCTTGATGAAGATCAATTGTGTGGTGGTCATGTCCTGTGTACGTTTGGGGGGTAATCCTGGACGTCATGGGATTCCAATCCCGGACGTCATGGGGTTCCAATCCTGGTATTCATGGGTTCCAATTCTGGACGTCATCCAATCATGAACGTCATGACTTCCAGTCCTGGACGTCATGGGGTTCCAATCCTGGTCGGGTTATTTAGAGTTCTTTATGATGTATACATATATATTGATATAATCTTGAACAAGAGGTCCTTCTAGAGCATCTTAGTGATTCGGCAGGGTTGCTCTAGCAATCCGGAGTGAAAATGTCTTTTTGAAATCTGAGAAGCCCCAAGAGTGTCAACTTTTAACCTTTCATTATAATCACCAACTTTAGCACAAAAGAATATAAACCTGCATTGGTAGCGAGCCACACAAGTCCTTTCTAATTGTGCAGAGGCCATAGAGGTTTTTGTTTTTGCAGAGATATTCCTGCACAGGTCCTAAGCCTCTGGCTGGCAGACTGTGTTACTGTGCCTGTCTTGCTTAGGCGGAGTGTGAGTATTTATGACTCGTATCTTTGCTTCATGAATATTATACCCAATGTATTTAACAACAACTACTGCTCTGTTGAACCTTAGTTGAAATCTTATTTGGTTTCTAACTGTGCACTGTGTTAGATAATATTCCAGTGGTCTGTCGGGCGTTTATCCACAGTGCTGACATTTCCTCTCGCCTTGTTCGGAACCTGTAAGCCTATTTCCCATGCACATGGGTATCCAAGCCTGATGTGATGTAAGTGTACTTCTGTTGTTCTACTGCTCCATTTCATCACAAAAAGTGGTTCGTAGTTGGTTGAATTCTTGTACCAACCCGCAGTTCTTCTACCAACTTAGTCTTTCAGGTTTTCTTGGGCTCAGGACAGTAGTCCAGAAACTTTCCTTGGTAGTTCGAGGTTCTCTGATCTTCACGTGTTGTTTCTGAGTTTGGTCTATCACCATCTACCATGTTGGCACATGACAGGCATGTTGGCATAACCGAGTAACATTAAAACACGGGCGAGACCACTCAAGCCACACTTGAGTGGCACATAGCTGCGTCGGTGGTTCAGATTTTCCTGGGGGACGACCTGGAGCACCTCAATGAGTGCTTGTTTGCCGCTGCCCTTTTCCGGGATGTGGGCGTGGTGCAGCTCCATGTGCAGGTTCCCTCCCTATCGACTGCGCAGGTTGCCGAGGACATGCGTGTCGGTGGCCTTTTGACTTTGGCCTTGAGTTTCTTTTCCCTCCTGGAGCTATCTTCGGACTGGCTAGTGGAGGATGTAGGGGCGCTCGGGGCTGTACCTGGGTCCAGTGCCTTGGGCTCGGCGGCCCGCTCGTCAGCTGCCTTGCTGAAACTGTTTGTGCCTATCTTGCGGGATGCGGTTTCCCTGTTCTATGCTTCACGGCTCATGTGACGGCAGGCAGTGCTTGCCTTCTCCCTGGAATCGGCCTGGGCCCTGGCTCTTAGGTTGTCTTCGCCTTTTTGTCCTCTGCTTGTTGAGGATTCTGCCGTGGCGTAGTATATTCAGGCTGCTTCAGCTACTTGTCGGCCTATGTCTGACTTGTTGGTTCTCTGAGGTCCCGGGGGAGGGGGGGCTTCCCAGAGGGGTTGTGCCAGGGCTCGTGCCAGGGCTCGGGTTCTTCTCATCGTGGTAGGCCACAGGTGCTGGTTTTGGGTTCAGCGCCACCTTCGATCCCCTCTTCGTCTGGTCGGCGCAATTATTGCTCTGTGCGAGGTTCTGGATCTCGTAAGGGGCGCCAGCCCTTTCGTGGTTCGCCCCATTGACGGGGGTGATGGGGAGGGGGGGCAGGCTTGTGCTGTTCACTTACGCTTGGTCCCATGATTTGTGGGCGTTTCGGTCGTTTCTCTCGGCCTGCTGTGGTGTTGCGTGTCCCCCTCCTCCTTCGGGAGGTTCGGGGCTGGTGGGGCAGGCCTCTTCCCCTGTGCTCTGTCAGGTCGGCCTGGAGTGGGTTTGCTTGGGCATGGTCGAAACGACGACATCCCTCAGATGGGTCTCCCCTCTGTTCCCAGTACCGAAATGGAACTGTGCGGACCTGCGGTTCATTTTGGACTTGTTCCGTCTGAACCCCTGGGTTCATTGCCCCTCGTTTAGGATGACTATGGTGTCCCAGATTCACCTCATTTTAGAGCCGGGCGCTTGGATGGTGTCCCTGGACCTCCGGGACGCTTATTAGCACATCCCGATTCATCCGGGGTTCAGGGACTGGCTCAGGTTTGTTGTGGGGCGTCAAGGTTACCGTTTTCTTTGTCCCCCATTTGGGTTGAACTTGGCACCTCGCGTGTTCAGATGCCTTACATGGGTCGTTGTGGCCCGTCTGCATCTCTTAGGTGTTCGGGTGTTGGCCTACCTCGACGACTGGCTGGTTTGGGCTCCCAGCTGGTCCAGATGTCTGCTTGCCAGGGATTTGGTTCTTTCCCAGCTCGCCAGGTTTGGGTTCTTGGTGAACTGGAGGAAGTCCCATCTGGTTCCCTCCCAGGTTCAGACATGGCTGGGTCATGCATGACCTGTTTCTGGGGGGCTCCCGGGTCACCCGGTGGTTGCTCGAGGGTCTGTGTGGCAGCCTGAACTTCGCAATGATGGTCTACCCGCCGGGTCGGGATTGGCTTCGTTGGCTATTCTGGTTCCTTCGGGGACGTCCCTTCTGCCCCTCTCGCGATCGCTGGGTTCGGAACCCGGGGCCTTGCATTGGTTGCTGCGTCGCCGGCTTCCTCTTCAGGTTTTTCAGGGTTCAGTGCCTTGGCGCCTACCCGAGCCCTTGCTTCATGTGTTCATGGACGCGTCGTCTCTCGGCTGGGGCTTTGTAACCAGTACTCACCAGGCCGGCCAGGGACAGTGGGGTCTGTCCTTCCGTCGAGCCCACAGCACAGTGCCGGAGTTCGCGGCCGTGTGGTTTGCTCTTCAGAGGATTCGGGTCACCCGCGGAGCGATGATCCGGCTCCATTCGGACTGCTCCTCGGTGGTTCATTGTCTGAACTGGCCGGGAGGGGGGGGTTTTTGATGGCTCTTTGGAGCGGGTCACTTCAGGTGACTCGTCTGCTGAGTTCTCGGGGTTTGACTCTCCTGGCAGTTCACGTGCAGGGAGTGTCTTGGCCGATGGCCTGTCTCGCTTCGTTCCCCTTCTCCACGGAATGGACAGTCAATGCCGATTCCTTCAGTTGACTTTGCCAGACATTCGGTTGCCCCGAGGTGGACCTCTTCGCATCGGCGTGGTTGCAGCACCTTCCCCTGTATGTGGCGCTCTTCCCCGACTGCGAGGCCGTCGGGGTCGATGCCTTTTGACAGGACTGGTCGAGGTGGGGATTCTTGTAACTCTTTCCCCTGGTTCAGCTGTTGCTCCAGGTCTTGACTCACTTGGAGACTTACCAGGCGGAAGAGTTGTTCCTCTTGGCCCTGTGGTGGCTGGCCCAGTTGTAGTTTCAGGCGCTGCTTGCTTGGTGTCCTCCGAACCCAGAGGATTTCCCGCTGCTCCACCTCTTCCAGATGATCGGACTGGAACGTCATGCGCTGGTTCGATCTTCTCCTCGAGTCTTCGCGTATGGTATGTTTTACTCGAGTTTACCATTATCTCTATGGTGATCAAGTGGCTTCCTTTTTAGTGTCCCACCTGCTAGCTTCGTCTCGGCGGAAGTATGAATTTTCCTGGCGGTCCTTCCGTTTCTTCTTGCGTCTTCGTCGTTGTACTTCGCTTTCTGTTAGGGTGGTGTTGTCCTTTCTCTCTTAGTTGTTCCAGGACCTTATGCCTAACACTGTCGCCTCGTATCGTGCGGCGCTGGCAGAGCTGCTTCAGTTTGCTTTCGGTATTGATGTTACTTCTGCGCCGTTTCGCAAGCTGTCTCGTGCATTGTTTCACCTCCGGCCTGCTCATGCACTGCCTGAGCCGTCCTGGTCTTTGGACAGAGTGCGCTCTTTTCTTTCTTCTCCTCGGTTTGTTGTGGCCCCTTCGGTTCAGGATTGTTTCTCTAAGGCTCTTTTTATGTTGGCATTGGCCTCTGGGGGTCGGGTTGGGGAGCTTCATGCTCTCCTCCGGTGCAGGGGTTTCTGCTCCTTCGGTCTTCGTGATGTTTTTGTTCGTTTGCAGCCATCTCCTCCTTTTCTGGTGAAGAATGAGACTGCAGCTTTCCGGAGGGGTCCCTGGGTTGATGTTTGGTTGGTCAGGCCGGGAGTGCATCATGTTTTGTGTCCGGTTGCGACTTTTCGCCATTATTTGCGCGCCCCGGCTTCTGTGTCCGGGGATGTACTTTGGGTTGATCCGGTTTCGCTTCTTTCCTGTTCGCGGGTGCGGGTCTCCCAGGTCATCCGCAGAGTTATTAAGGCTAGCCAGCCTGCGGTCTATCCCCGTGCCCATGACGTTCGTGAGTTTGCTGCTCTTGCTGCCGTCTTTGGCAACATGTCGTGGGCTGGCATTCGGGCACGGGGCTTTTGGAAGTCGAACAGGGTCCTGGCTGCTCGTTACCTAGTGAACGTTCCCGGGCCTAGTCGGGCCTGTGTCGCTTTGGGTCGGCGGCTGCAGCTAGTTGTCTCGACTTCGTGTTGAGGAGTGTGCAGTGACCGCCTCCCGGGTAAGTCGCTATATTTTTTACTCTGGGGTAGTTAGCTCCAGGGAGCCGAAGGGGCTCCCTCCAGAAAACCAGTGTTGAATGTAATGAAACGCCATTTTCTGGGCGAGACCCGGAGGCTCCCCAGCATCCCTCCCTCCCTCCCTCCGGTCGGTGTTTTTTTTCGCGTATTTTCACATCCAGCCTCAGAACTGACGGGTGGATAGCCGGCATAGGGGGTCTGGGGCTCCCCCTTCCCCCTCCCAGGGAGGGGGAAGCTGCGCAGACAGCGCCGCGGCGACGTGTGACGTCATGCTCGTTTGCTCGTTTCTTTTAGGGGAGTTCTATCCACTTGTTCGGCTTTTGGTAGCAATATTTTCACCAGAATAGGGGTTTGTTTTGGGATGCTTACCTTTCTGGGTGTCTGACCCAATCGATGGCAGACATAGAATGCTTCCAACCACACGGGGGTTTCTATAGGCCATTGCTCCCCCATGTCTCTCTGAGGGGGGCCAGGTTTTGGCTCGTGGTCCCCGGTAGGCCCACAGAACTCCATACACATGACTGATGCCAAAGTCTGACATTAGCATATCAGCCCAGTAAGCTTCAGGGAGCCTCCGAGTCTCGTCCAGAAAATGGTGTTTCATTACATTCAACGACGTTTTTTTTCAGCATCATTAGCATCTTTAAAAAAAAAATATTTGCATCATCGGAGGCGTTCGAGAATGTGCGAGAAGCAGCGGAAACGCACCATGTGGTTTTCTCGTTAATGAAACGAGCCCTCGCCAATCGAAACAAATTGTCAGCGATCGGCGTGTTTGTTATTCAAAATGTAATTACCTAAGTGTAGTTACAGGATGAGAGCTATGCTCGTGGTGTCCCATCTCCCCAGCACTCTGTCATATAATGCATTGAAATTACTAACGGTTTTGGCCTTCACCACCTTCTCACTTAACTAAAATAGAGGTAGGAATTCTGGGGTATTTAACCAACCAGAACTCCATTCCTCCCCCAGGCAATGAGATGGTGAGGGATCTCTGACGTTTTTCATCAAGCCCTGTTATGTGGGAGAACTCAGTGCCAAATGCTTAATGCACAGACTTGCTTATAAACCACAAGTTTGAAGTATATAACTTTTTACACACTCAATCCACCAGGGGACTCGAACACTGGCCATCAAGGTGGCAGTTATACACTATAAATAATAAATAAATAAATAAATATGTTTATTCAGGTAAGGTACATACATACAAGTGATGTTACATTAATGGATTGATATATAGATAGAGCTAGTACATACAATGCCTAAAGCCACTATTACGCAATGCGTTTCGGGCAAGAAAAACATTAATAACTAGAACTTATTACTAATTGAGCATAAAGAATAAAAAATGTTGAAAACAAATACAAATAAAGATAAAAAAAGGGGGAACATGACTGAAAAAGCAGCACAAATACAATAGGTTGACAAACAGTGTTGATTAAAAAAAAAAAAAAATAATAATAATAAAATAAAATAACAGACATGGGTTGACAATAAAGGAGTGAGGTGGGTTACAGGGAATTTATTAGGTAGTGTTTAGTTTTTATCTTAAACTGGTTGAGAGAGGTACAGTCTTTAACATGGTTGGGAAGGTCATTCCACATTCTGGGTCCCTTGATTTGTAGAGCATTTCTAGTTTGATTAAGTCGTACTCTAGGAATATCAAAACTGTATTTATTCCTGGTGTGGTGCTCATGGGTTCTGTTACAACCTTCAATGAAGCTTTTAAGGTCAGGATTGGCATTACAGTTCAGTGTTTTATATATGTATAAGACACAAGAGAGAATGTGCAGTGACTTAATATCTAACATATTCAGAGATTTGAGTAAGGGTACCGAGTGATGTCTGGGGCCAGAGTTGGTTATTGTCCTAATAGCAGCTTTGTGTTGGGTAATGAGAGGACGTAAATGATTTTGGGTAGTAGAACCCCAAGCACAAATACCATAGTTGAGGTATGGATAGATGAGGGAGTAATAGAGAGTAACCAGGGCAGGGCGGGGTACATAATATCTGATCTTAGAAAGAATGCCAACAGTTTTTGAAACTTTTTTTGATATATTTAGAATGTGACCCTGGAAATTCAGCTTGTGGTCGATGAGAACGCCAAGGAATTTGCCATCTAATTTGTTACAAATTTGGGTATTGTTTATTTTGAGATTTATCTGATTAGAAGATTTATTGCCAAACAGAATATAAAACGTTTTGTCAATGTTAAGGGTGAGTTTGTTGGCAGTTAGCCAAAGATGGACTTTCTCTAGCTCAGTATTTACTGTGGCATTTAGAGCAAGGGGGTCAGGACTGGAGTAAATGAAGGTTGTGTTGTCAGCAAATAGAATTGGTTTGAGGTGTTGGGAGGCATTTGGAAGGTCATTAATGTAGATGAGAAAGAGGAGAGGGCCAAGTATGCTGCCCTGAGGAACACCAATGTTGATGGGTAGGGTGGGAGAAATTGTATTATTCACAGAAACATACTGGAGCCTGTCAGTAAGATAAGATTTGAGGTATTGCAGGGAGTGTCCTCTGACTCCATAATGATGTAATTTAAGAAGAAGGTTTTGATGGTTGACAGTGTCAAAAGCCTTACGCAGGTCCACAAATAACCCAACAGGAAACTCCTTTTTATCAAGAGCTGCGTGAATTAAGTTAATCATACTAATAAGTGCATCGTTAGTGCTTTTTTTGCTATATCCTATATATTTGCTATATATTTTTTAGTGCTATATCCACTACATCATACTTCAGAGCCCTGAAATTGAAATGTTCGTAAATTAAGGTGCTCGTCACTTGAGGTTCCACTGTATTTTTAATATTATATAATTTTTAGCTGCAGCTTTCCTCGATGAAGTGAAATACCTTGTCAACGTTTTAGCAAATATCACTTATGAATGTAAGAATCGGTTAATAAAATTTCTCACTCGATAGCATCTTACTTCAATCATCATTTACAGGTGGAACAGACATATAAACAATACATTAAGGACACAGTGAAGCTTTTTGATGCAACTGGACCAGACGCTCTTGAATTTGCAGCACACCTCTACCATTACGAGAGCCGCATTGCTGAGATCACACCTCCAGAGAGCGTTCTGAAGGACCCACAGGCTTCTAACAATCTAATATCCATTGGTGAACTTTCCCAGATTGCTCGAAGTGTAAGTTTCTGTCAAATTGTATTCTATTTACATGCTGATATATTTATCATAGTTTATTGGTCAGTAAGAATTTACATGTAAAAAGCAGTTTCATATTGACAGGTTCCCTGGCTTGCTCTCCTCCGACAAATGTTTCCAAATAGTAAATTGGATCACAGAACTGATGTGCTGGTGGTCTCTCGAGAGTACTTCAGTGATGTCTCCGAGCTCATATCAACAACTGATAGAAAGTACAGTACAACTCATTGTATTCATTTATTAGTCTTGTGTAAGCAAGGTTCTTGAGTGAGTGAAGTAATGTTAGATTTTAATTTGGTTCAGATCCTTGTTATTTTTATAAAGCTGGAAATGGGGATTTTCAGATATTACCGATATCTAAAAATTGTCTGTTTTACCGAATTCCTTTCTGTGTGGAGCCCCTACGGCTCCCTGGAGCTTATCAGGGTAATGTATGTTATATTAGACCGGGACATTAGCTATGGAGTTCAGACCTACCAGGGACCAGCACCAGAATCTGGCCCCTTCAGAGAGGTTGCAGGGAGCAGTGGCCCTGGAAAACCCCCGTGGTTGGGGATTTATCTGTCATCGACCGGGGTTAGGTACCCAGAAAGGTAGGCATAACAAAACAAACCTCACATGGTAAGAAACTAACAACAAAAACAGAACAGAGAGGTAGAACTCCCTACAATCCCAAGGAAACAAGGAAACGAGCAAACGTAACACTAACACCGCGCTGCTCATCCGTGCAGCCCTCCCCTCCTCGAGAGGGAAAGGAGGGGGGCCCTGGACCTCACCACGCCGGCTGCATGGCACTCCAGTTCATAAGCTAATGTCAACCGAGACAGACACTTCTCTGGCCTCAGTTTCCTAGGCGGTGTTTGCCTTCGTGGCGCTCACTGCTGTGTTTTTGTGTTTTTTGTGTCTTTACTGGCCAGGTGTTCCTTATCAGTACTGGAGCTGCATGTGCTTAGGGGCTTCCTTCCCTAAGCACCCTGTGAGTACTGCCCCTGCGTGACAGGGTTCTCTTCCCTGGGGCATTCGGGAACCATTCTGGTAGAGGTTCTTGCTGTTCTGCATTTGCCTCGCCCTTTGGGCCAGCTAGGGCTTGGGGCCCTTGTTTGGCCTTGGGTAGGGGCTAGTATTGTTTGGTTAGGGCGTCAAGGTGTTATGCAGCCTGCCACCTACACGGCGACCAGTTCCTTTTGCCTCTGGGGGGCAGTGTACTTTTGTGGGGGTTTTATTTTTTTATTTTCATTTGCCTGGTGGGGGTCTGCCTAGTGTGGCTATAGTTCCACTGGTACTGTTTGCATGGTGGCCCTCTGCTAGGCCCCAGTGATTGTACACGTCGCAGGGGTTTTCAGTGTTGCATCTACCCCTTGTTAGCTTGAGGGTTAATCGGTTAGCAACACCTTGCCCGGGCTTCCCGTAGCAGTCGGCCTAGGCCCTGGAAAACCCTCTCGAGGCTCTGTGGACCATTGGATGTGTCTTCTGGGTTCCATCCCTTTTTGTGTGGGTTCGTTAGTTGCTGTGCCCTTGTCTCAGGGTGACAGTCACCACTTTTACCTCTATCATGCTGCCTGTTGGGTCACTAACACCTTGACCCGGAGTCTTGCGAATTGTGTTCTCTACTTGTTCTCCAGTCCTCTCCTGATGTCCTTACTGTTCAGAGTACAGGCGGCATCCATGTTGCAAGCTCGGTTTAGGTTGCTGCAATGCGCTAAGTTGTTTTCCCACCCAGATGCCCCGGGGCTGCCCCGTTTCGGTTAGGTGCTGTTTGCCCCTTTCCCCTCCCTGTTCCTGGCTCCTGACTGTCTGTGGGTTTCGGGGTTGGGGCGGGGTTTAGTTGGTGCCAAGACTTGGGCGGCTTTGGGGGCTGCCCCGTTCGGGTTGGGGATGGAGGTTTCCAGCCTGTTCCTCCTGCCAAGGCTTCTGGGTCTTACCAGCGGCCCTTTCTTTGCTGCCTTTCCCCTGGACTCTTCCTTTTCTTTAAGGCGAACGGTGTGGAGGACAGCTCTGCCCCGGAACCTCTGTTGCGGGTTCCGGGGCTATGGGGGATGTCCGTTAGCAGTTCTGGGGCTGTTTACCCCTGCCTGAATCTTCTGCTTCCGGGCGGGGTTTTTCATTTTTCTTGTCTGCTTACTTCCCACATTTGCTGGCGTGTTTTCGGCTCTATTGCGTCGGTCTTTTTGTTTGGTGGCCATATTCTTTCTGCGGATAACTCCCCGCTTGGCCACCGACGACGCTGCGATTTGTTTACCAGTGCCTGGGTGTACGCGCTAGCGTTTTGAGTGAGTTTTTCACCTCCTTTCAGGGGTTTTCTTCTCCTGTTATCGTTTCTTTGTTTTCTGGGGTGTTCTGCCTGTCTTCTGTTCCTCTGGGAATGCTTGGGGGTGATTTTTACACCGGTTTTTGTGTTTTCTGTCTATTGGCTCTGGGCCCTGGGGTTTGGACAACGAGCCCCTGTCTGTTTATGCTTGCTCCCACACCTTGTCCCTCGGTTTTCGGTCCGTTTTGGCCGTTTCCCTGGGGGGGTTCTGTCTAGGTGGTGTGCTTTACCCTTTCTGATTTCCACCTGCAAATGTGGTAGTTTGGGCTCCCCCCAGGTTCAATTCCAGGTTCCCTTGGGTTCTTTGGTTTCGTTCCGGAGGTTTCTTCCTCTTGGCCCCCCTTTGTGGGTTCGTGGGGTTTTATCTCGTGTGTGACCCGGTTGCAAGCTGATCTTTATGGGTCTTGGAACGTGTTGTGGTCGTGCCGGGGCCTTGGGGTTTTTGTTGTTGAGGTGGGTCTTTTGGTGCAGTTTTTGTGCTTTCTTGGTGCCTTCTTTGTCTGGCCGGCATGGTGCTCTCTGCCCACTTTTTTTTCGGGAGGGCTTCGCTCCCTTCGCTGTTGACAGGGCGCTGGGGGGGAAGGCAACTTGATCTGTTGGCTCTCAATTGGTCCCACAGTTCGTGGGCGTTTTTGGTTGTCTTCCAGCCACTGGTGGCATCAGGCGGCTTCTTCCCCTTTGGGGGATTCAGAGCTGGCGGGGTGGGCTTCTTCCCCTGCGCTTTGTCCTGTCTTCTTGTTGTGGGTGCGTTTGGATGTATGCCCCATGGTACGCCCATGGGGCACGAACCATGGGGATGTACCATTTTGGACGCCTGATCCTTCCAGGGTTCCCTCCTGTTCTAATGCAGACACGGGACTTTGTGGATCTGCGGTTCTTCTGGACGTGTTAAGTCTGCGCCCTGGATTCTTTGCTCTCTTCTGAGGACTGTTGTCTCAGGTCCGGCTTCTGTTGGGGCCCGGGTGTCTGGTTGGTGTCCCTGGACTTCTGGGTAACTTCTTGGCACGTTCTTTTCCAGGATTCCGGGACTGGCACAGTTGGTGGTGGGGCTTCAGGCTTGTCGCTTTTGTTGCCTTTCCTATTTTGTAATGAGCACTTAATGGATTTATGCATCCTTACCAGATCTTGGTGACCTGTCTGTGTCTGCTCAGGATTCAGTTTTCGAGCCCACCTCAACGACTGGCTGGTGTGGGCTCCCAGTCGGTCTGCTTGTCTTCTCGCCAGGGGTGTGGTTCTGTCCAGATCATCGGGTTCGGGTTCCTGGTGAACTGGAGGCCATTCCATCTGGTTCCGTCCCAGGTTCGGACCTGGCTGGATCTTGTTTACGACTTTTGGACCGCTTCTTTGTGTCTCCCTCCACAGATGTTGCTGTGGCTGCGGTCCTGCTTTCGGCTGTTTCTGAGGGGGTCCCGGGTCATTCGGCGGTTGCTCGAGCAATTGTGCCGGAGTCTGAACTTCTCTGTGCTGGTCTGTCTGCTGGGTCGAGGTTAGCTTCGGCGTCTGTTTTGGTTCCTTCAGGGACTCCCCTTCCACCTCTTTTGTGTTCGTTGGGTTCATCCTCTGAGGACCTTGTGTTGGTGCTGCGTTGCCGGCTTCCTCTTTAGGGTTTTTGGGGTTCCGTGCATTGGGGCCTCCCCGAACCTTCACTCGATGTGTTCACGGACAGATCGTCTCTCGGCTGGGACTTCGTGACTGGTGCTCACCAGGCTGGCCAGGGATGTGGAGTCCGTCCTTCCGTCGGGCTCACAGCACGGTTCGGGAGTTTCGTGGCCGTCTGGTTGTTCTGGTTGTGCTTCGGAGGGTTCAGGTCACTCGGGGCTCTACCATCCGGCTCCATTTGGACTGTTCTCCGGTGGTTCCTTGCCAGAACCATGGTCCTTTGGTCCACCCTTTGGGGGTTTGGTCCTTTCGAGTGGCTCGTCTGCTGGTTTCTTGAGGTTTGGCTCTCTGTATGTTTCATGTCCGGGGAGTGTCCTATGTCCTGGCGGACGGCTTCGGTTCATTCCTCTGTTCACGGATTGGACAATCGTCGCCACTTTCATTGACTGCCGAATGTACGGATTCCCGGATATGGGCGTCTTCGCGTTGAAGTGGTCTCGGAGTCTCCAATTCTATGTGGCGCCCTTCCATGCCTGTGAGGCGTTCGCAGTGGATGCCTTTCAGCAGAACTGCTCGAGGTGGTGTTACATGTACCTTTTTCCCGGTCCAGCTGTTGCTTCGGGTTCTGGCTCGGTTGGAGTCCTTCCTAAGGAGTGTAGTCCCTGTGGCCCCTTGGTGGGTGGCTCAATTTGTTTTCAGATGCTGCTTGATCGGTGTCCAAACCCAGGGCGTTTCCCGTGGCTCCGCCTCTTTGGCAGGTTGGACGGCTCCAGTACGTGGCTGGTTCGCCCTTCTCCTCGGCTCTTCATGTATGGTCTTTTAATGCGGGTGTATCACCATCTCTATGGTGATCAGGTGGCTTCGTTGATGGTGTCCCACCTGCGAGCTTCGTCTCAGCGACAGTATGAAGTTTCCTGGCATTTCTTTTCCCCATTTTCTTGCTCTTTGTAGGTTGTCTTATCTTTCACATCGGGTTGTCTTGTCCTTTCTTGGATTTCTGGACCGTTATTGGCGCTTCTTACTGTCGCTTCGTATCGTGCGGCGCTGGCGGAGCCGCTCCAGCTTGTGTTCGGGGTGGACGTCATATCCACCCCGTTCCGTACGCTTTCTCATTTATTATTTATTTATTTATTTATTTATTTATATATATACAAGAAGGTACATTGGGTTTGTGAGAATACATTGGATAGTACAGTATTTACATTCTTGTAAAGCCACTAGTACGCACAGCGTTTCGGGCAGGTCCTTAATCTAGCAGATAATTTTAAGTAGGTAATTTCAATCAGAATTGATAAATGATAAAGA